AGCTAAGAGCCATTCATGTGACAAGACTTTCAAATTCAAAATAAAACCTTGGGGAAAACTCTTCAACATTTCCCTCTGGGCTTGTTTGTTACTGTTTATATTATATGGTTTATCAGCAGCTGAAATTTTATTAGGAAACAAAGACTTACACACAAAGGCCAGGAAAGCTAGCTGAAGTTAGTTTTCTGTTACTTAGGTAAATGAATTTGAACTGAACTGAAACAAACTGAGTTTCCACGTTGAAAAAAAATTGTGCTCAGTAACTTATAGCACAAACATTGTGCTACAGTGTTAATTTACTTGAGAATGAGACTGCAGATTTCATATAATTCATACCTTTGTTACTTAGAGTCAAACTTGATACTTAGTTCTTGAAACGAGTCAACTACATTGGTATACAGAAGTCTTGCAGAATCCTCCCTTAGTCCTGTTTGCAAGTAACTAACTACATGTGCTGTCAGCACTATATATGTCCATTTCATTACTTCGTGAAAACCTAGTATCCCAGGCTGAAATTGGCATCCTCCTTTACAAAGACTACTATGTGCAACTACTTCAGCTGTACTGCAACTGGGACAACTTAGACCACAAAACCTGGTTCATACATGTACTGTCATGGGCATATTGTAAGGGAAATTTCAATTTGACGCCTTGTTAAAATATCATGTTACACTAAAGTCTGGCCCAAGAACTGAAATTTGAGTTTTGTGCCCCCTCTGCAGGGTGGGTTTGGCTTAACATGTAAATAGAGGCAATATTCTGATCACTTGTCAACTGGTACTGTTAGGAGACAATACATTTTGATCACTGTCAGGGTGTACACAGTTACAGAGTTTCATGATAAAACCAACATAAATTTACTTACAGTCTCTGTGTGTCCCCTGTTCTACTATTCACCCATTTCTGATATGCTGCAAAGACCATCGTAACCCCATAAATTCCTGCTGCTATAAAACAATTTCTAAAGGAACGAGAAGTGAAAAACAATCAGTCAAACCTCATATATAACTTCCAGGACTTTATCTGCGACCAGTTGAGACAGACTAATTTTTTTTTTTTCTGGAGAAATTTATTTAGCCTTGTTAACAATTAATGGTTATCTGGGCCTAAATACTCCAGCCAAAAAAGTGCAACAAAATTATTATTCTTTTTACGATATTAATCGCTTATAAGCTTAAGTACAGATCAAATAAGACGACTCTAAAACGTGTACACTTTCACTGTCATGTAATAGACGTTGTGCTGTACGTGTTTCACTACAAACCTTGCAGACGATTTGTAACCTTTTCCTTCTTCCATCTTAGGGAGATCGTCTATAAGTGCTACACTCCTTGTGCTGAAAAATACGCCTAACAGAAGCTGAAAACAAAGCAATAAATTTTTTTCTCTTTTTGAATCGACGTAAGCTTTAAGCCTAGAACGTACACCAAACAGATAACTGTTTGATGTATCAACAAATGCTTACTGCCATACTCGCAAACATACGAAAAATAGCACTCAAACTGGAAAGTCAAACCTTACCAACATTATAACACCCCACAAGCTTAATAAAAAGCAACAACTTGCCAGTTTTGGGCCACAAATTCTAATCATCTTTGCCCTAACTCGAAATTCAATATGGCCGATCGCAAATAATTTCACGTGACAAGCACCCTCGTTTTCACTCCACTGAGCAATAGACTAGGGCAGGGACTAGGGCGAGTTAGAGCAGTCCAATATGACGGCCGAAGACTTTTGCAATTCTTATAACGAAATTTCCTTTCAAGCGCCTTGGGGAGTTATTGCAGCAAAAGCATGGGGAACGGAAGATGGTAAGCCTTTCCTTGGGCTGCATGGCTGGCTAGACAACGCTAACACATTTGACAGCATAGCTCGCTTGCTTCCTGAAAACATTCGATTTGTTGTAATGGATTTCCCGGGACACGGCCTATCTTCTCATCGATGGCCTGGAATGCCGTATCTCCACTTCGAATATGTTGCTGATGTTAAGAAAGTTGTCTCTCAACTGGGATGGGAGAAGTTTTCTATCATATCCCACAGCATGGGAGCATTTGTGGCATCGCTGTATGCGGGGACATTCCCAAATGAAGTAGAGAATCTTGTCTTGATTGAGTATGGTGGTTACCCTGCTAGGAGCGCAGAGAAACCCGACTTTCGGTTAGCTAGATATGCAGCTGGAATGGCGAACATGAACCCAAGACTTCCCCGCGTTTATGAAAGCGTAGAAGCAGCGGCTGCCAGGCGAGAAGAGCCATCTTTGAATGGTAACACTTTACGTAAACATGATGCGTTGTTAATAACAAAGAGAGGAAGCACCGCCACCAAGGATGGTGTTGTTTTTTCGCATGATCCAATGATTAGAGAATTGGTCTTACCTTTTTTTCCACCTGTATTCTCTATATTACTAGTTCTGTCCAAGATCAAGTGTGCAGTGTTGATATTAGAAGGTTCAGATAGTCTCCACTTGGAAGAGAAAGGTCAAGAAACTCGTCTTGAAAAGCTCAGTGCCATTTGCCAGCATGCAAAGTTCAAGATGTGGAAGACCCTTCAAGGAGGCCACCATTTGCATCTTGATAATCCTGAACAAACTGCACTACAAATCAAACAATTCTTAGCTCTTTGTGAATCCCAAGATTGTGATTTGCACACCAGCAAGCTCTAGTACTTAGATATTGTATATGTAGAATGAAGGCAATGTAGCCTTTTGAAGACTAATTCATAGCTATTTTTTTTAGAATAATAGATTATTATAGACTACCCATTCTTTTGCGAACTGCTCGAAAATACAGTTTCATTTTTGTCCAGTTCGACTACTCACCATAAAGCTTAGAAAGTAAGAACACCTGGAAATTATTGGTAAAAGTTTACAGTTGTTAGATCTTACCACAAATGCAACTGGACATGTTATAAGAAACAACAGAAATGTCATGAAATCTCAATGCAAGGTAACCAAAGAAATCAAACTTCAACCAACAATAGTCTTCCATCAGTGATTACAACTTTTACAAATGAAATTGGGTTATCCACCCATTACTACCCTGCAAGCAGAGCGGCTTTCATCTTTCCTAGATAAGGTCTATCTAGGAAAGATAGAAGTGGCTCACCCTCAGGGTAACGCTCAACATGCAGTGGCGAACACATTGGGGAACAGACTAAGTATACGAGAACAGTGAAGATATCTATGAAAACTCAGGGTCAGTATTGACCACTGTCAATGGAAACAATGCAAAAGTCTGTTGTATCATTATGTATTGTTGCTTCTGCTATAGTCGACGGAAGGCCAAATCCTTGTGAGCTTGTTTTAAACCTGATGTGATATCTTTAAACTACAACATTCTATTTCTCCAAATTAGCTTGTGGAACGTGAGAGAAGCTGCATTGTAAACAAAACTCTCAAATGCACAAGGGGAAGGCTGTGAAATTGTTCTATAGCTACCACATTGTTACACCTTAAAAGCTTGTGTGCACCTGTTGATTTATTCACTGGGTCTGGTTTTACCCTTCATACTGGGTATTTTTGAAGATTTACTGATTTTATTTTTACAAATACAGTGGAAACCCTCATGAGCAGACACTCTTGGGACATGCAAAAAACTGAAAATGGCCACTTGCTTGAAGTGATCCTCCTAAGCGGCCACCAGTACCCTGGTGTGACGGATAGCCCTCAAACTTGAAAGTGGAACCTTAACAACGTTATTACACCCCACAAGCTTAATAAAAAAGCAACAATTTGCTAGTTTTGGGTCACAAATTCTAATCACCTTAAAAGCTTGATCTCAATTGCAAAAATAGATGGACCTTTTTACGACTTTTACCTATGTCACACTTTTCCGATTTTTACATTCAAACCAAAACTAAACTTCACAGCTCAATTTATCACGCTGAATTTAGTTAATATGTGAAGTTTCATAAGAATCTGTTGCAAGCTCGTAAAAATATATGACCCCTAACTTTACATTTTTTACAATGGAATCAGGAGCAGCTCCTGAATGGAATACAATTCTTTGTAAAATCAGGGGTGGATCCAGGATTTTTCTTAGGAGAGGATGCACCACTAAGGAATGGCATCACACCAATAAACCACATAGTCAATTTTTTTGCAGAATACCAGTTTTAATAGAAAGCTGCATCTCATCCAGGGGGTGGGGTTGCGCACCCCCTGCACTCTTGCCCTAGATTTGCCCCTGCATATTTTTATGAATTTGAGACGGATTGTTATGAAACTTCGTTGATTTTTTTAAATTCGGTATGATAAATTGTACTGTGGAGCTGATTTTTTTGTTTATTTGAAAAATACGAATTACGACAAATTGTTGATATTGCGTGACACCGAAGAAAAAAGCCATTACGTAACACGCACCCTCGTTTCCACTCTAATGAGGAACAGACTGGGGCGAGTAAACGTATATTCAATATGGCGGACGAAGAACATTTAACCAATTCTTATAAGGAAATTTCCTTTCAAGCGCCTTGGGGAGTTATTGCAGCAAAAGCATGGGGACCAGAGAATGGTAAGCCTTTCCTAGGACTACATGGCTGGCTAGACAACGCCAACACATTTGACAAAATAGCTCGTTTGCTGCCTGAAAACATTCGATTTGTTGCGATGGATTTCCCGGGACATGGCCTATCTTCTCATCGATGGCCTGGAATGCCGTATCTNAAGGAAATTTCCTTTCAAGCGCCTTGGGGAGTTATTGCAGCAAAAGCATGGGGACCAGAGAATGGTAAGCCTTTCCTAGGACTACATGGCTGGCTAGACAACGCCAACACATTTGACAAAATAGCTCGTTTGCTGCCTGAAAACATTCGATTTGTTGCGATGGATTTCCCGGGACATGGCCTATCTTCTCATCGATGGCCTGGAATGCCGTATCTACACTTCGAATATGTTGCTGATGTAAAGAAAGTTGTCTTTCAACTGGGATGGGAGAAGTTTTCTATCATATCCCACAGCATGGGAGCGTTTGTGGCATCGCTGTATGCGGGGACATTCCCAAATGAAGTAGAGAATCTTGTCTTGATTGAGTATGGTGGTTACCCTGTTAGGAGCGCAGAGAAACCCGACTTTTGGTTAGCTAGATATGCAGCTGGAATGGCGAACATGAACCCAAGACTTCCCCGTGTTTATGAAAGCGTAGAGGCAGCGGCTGCTAGGCGAGAAGAGCCATATAATGGTAACACTTTACGTAAAGATGATGCGTTGTTAATCACAAAAAGAGGAAGTACAGTCACCAAGGATGGTGTTATTTTTTCGCATGATCCAACTCTTAAAGAAAACCACTTCCCTTTTTTACCACCCCGGCTCTCTTTAAACCTTATTCTTTCCAAGATCAAGGGCGCGGTGTTGATATTAGAGGGTTCGGATAGTCAAGACTTACTTGAGATAGGTCACGAAAGTCGCCTGGAGAGGCTCAGTATTATTTGTCAGCATGCAAAATTCAAGATGTGGAAAACTCTTCTAGGAGGCCACCATGTTCATCTTGATAATCCTGAACAAACTGCACAACAAATCAAACAATTCTTAGCTCTTTGTGAATCCCAAGATCGCGATTTGCACACCAGCAAGCTGTAGTAGATANTGATTATCTTTTAATATCATAAGTGACAAATTTAGCTTACAATCCTGGGTTTTTGACTTGTTTATTGGGTCGAGAAATTTCGCGCCAAACGTTGCCAGGGCAATTTTGTAATTTCAAATGTGAAATTATAAATTAACGCTGAAATTTTGTGCCACATGCAAGGAGTAATTTTTCACCCGTGATATTATTCCCTAGACACTCCTCAAGTTATCAAAATTACGTCTTTAAGAAAAGTCACGCGCGAAGGGATCGGCGTAGTAGGGTCTACTTTATGCATTTACTGATGACTAAACTTTTAGAAGGGTGTTCTTACAAACACGAGTTGGACTGTGAACGTCTGGTCAAATGCATCTTGTTTTGGGTGTGGCACTCAGTGCTGTTACGATTTCGAGTTTATTATATGACTGAGAATATTACTTTATTGTGATTGACCGAGAGCAAGCCAACTTATAGTTAATTTTAATTTGCTCTGCGGTGTATGTAAATTAACGCGCGCTTTCATGATTTTCTCGGGCAAATTTGCCGTCTACTCATGGAAAGCATACTCCAGTCACCCTTCAATTAAAGAGCCCGCGGTCTCCCCCCGACCTCTCTCGGTGGGAAAGTTGACCGCACTTGAGTGAGCGACGGAAATCGCGCCTATACGAATCGTCAGATATTTGAAAATTCTCTAAAACGTGCACTCGCCTACAACGCTCGTGCAATTTTGAGAGAATTTTCAAATATCACGAGTAGTGTAAATCCTTATAATTGCACGTGCATACAATACTTACCTATACCTATTTTTATTGTGCTTTAATTTTGACTTACATACGTTCTTTGAGCTCAGAGTGACTACTATTCTGTTAGATAAAAAGGTCGGAGAAGGCATCGCGCACTTCCTCATGTGAACCTTGAAACTTGAGCTCTGCCGTTACGGTGCTTTGATCTACCCAATGGCGTTTGCTTGTTCCAGAAAAGTCATCTTTCTTTTTCTTTCTTTTACAGTAATAGCCCACGTATAAGAACCTGAATTTTTCAATTCAGCCTAAATAGGCTCTTATATAAATGGTACTTAAAGCAAATTTAGGCTACCAAGGTTCTTAAAATAGGTTCTTATATTTTCATATGAATTTCATCTGAATATACTATATATATTATAAATATCATCTCATAATACAGTACATTGTATAAATCATTTATTTGTACCATAGAGCAATACCTATAGGCAGTTCAGTGCAGGTACAGTATATGTCCTTAACAAAACATAACAAAGAAACTCATGTTGATACCAAATTCATAATTTGATATTTTACATTAAATATTTTGTGATTCTCACAGAGTTGGAGATGGTCAGAAAGCTTCCCTTGATACTGTAGTAGAGTACAGTACTTGCAAATACTTCGGGAATTATTTGAATGGCAAACACAATCGACATACAACATGATACTTAAGCTTGAAATAAAAGTTATGTCAAGTTACTTTTAAATAGATGATGATCTTAATTCAGCAGTTTCTACCTATACACTTTTACAGTAACTCCACTGATAAGAACCTAACTTAAAATTTTAGCCTTAATAGATTCTTATGTGGAGGGGGCTTAAAATTAAAATTTTCGCCTAACAGGTTCTTAAAACCCAGGTTCTTATACGTGGGCTATTACTGTACTACATCAAGCAGACAGATGCCGAGAACAAGAACAAAAGATTAGACTAGGGAAACCTATCTCCTTGCATACGGCTGGCGAGCCCGAAATTTGAATTGACCAATCAGAATTCACAAGGCGGGAAAAACTGTACTGTTCTGACGTCAATGTATATTAACAGGAGAGGCATTGAAGATGGGCAACTTTTCTCAATGGAGACGGCATTAAATATTCCCGAAAAGGGACTTATAATTCCAAAAAACTTATCAGATTGTAAAAAGTGAAAAAATATGGAACATTTCAGTTGTGTCTCCAAGCTACTAATTTGGCACCATAAACAGATCGCTGACATCGGGTAACTCGCTCGTAGTTCGTCGAGTGTCGCCAGGTAACATAATATATAGTGATGTTATTCGGAGCAAAAAATGTTGTTCCTCGTCAAATTAAAACCAGATTTCTCAAGTTAAGTATTTAAAGAGACCAAAGCATTGCCTTTATTTTTGTTAGCTGCGAAAAAAAAGACTATATCATCGTGTCGTTTCGGTAAGACAGCTCGGTTTTGACTGCCGCTCGTAGTGCGGTCGCAGTCGCCGTATGCAAGGCTGAATGTGTGTTCAATTCTTATGAGGAAGTTTTAAGTAAATGGACGACGAATGCCTCTTAAATTAGAAGAGTTATTGTTTCGAGTTCGGAAGTGAAGAGAATCTTCTAAGATTAGCTATGTGCGAAGAACCATTGTCCTTAAAACTCAACACTTCCAGATCTGTTTCTTGGTCCTGGGACGGCTGTTTGGCCCTTGTTCTTGTTCTTGCCCTTGAATCTTCTCATCAACGGAGACTTTGGCATTTTCTGCGGACTCCCGAGAGACACTCTAAGGTACGCTTGCTTTACAATCTTTCTGTGCTCGGAAAACCCCTCTGAATTGGAAAGCTGATGAAAGGAACATCCCGTGTTCACGGCAAATAGTTTTCCCTCGAATTCTGTTACTTCTGTGTGGCGTTTCTGGTCAGCTTTTGATGCGATCAGAAATATTGCTGAAGAGGGAATGTTTTTTGTTTCGTGTAGATATTTGACAATGAGTGTTGCTTCTTGGAACGACGAACGATCCGTTATAGAGTAGAGTACAAACATGATATCCAGAGAAGCACAGGTATCGATCTTTTCCAAACAATTCTGAAAGAATAAAAAATAAATTTAAGAGATCTTTGCTTGAGTTTTTGTATTTGACATTTTTCAACCCTGTGCAAAAACGGCGGGAAAAGGATTTCTTGACTGAGCTGTTCAAAACGTTTACAAACTCGTCTTGACGGTAGGAAACCTTGTTCGCAATGGGGGTGGCAATGGTAAATGCGAGACTTTGCGAGGCGGCGAGACAAGCGTTTTTCTTTGCTAGCCCGAGACATTTTGACTTTTTAGATTGCGAGACCGAGACTTCAAAGCTCTTTGAGTGCGAGCGCGAGACGTTCAGACTCTTAAAATTCAAGCCCCAGATAGATTTAGTTGAGAGCTAGAATGAGCTTGTACAGCCTTAAGCCAGCTTCTTGGAACTGACTGGAACTGGAAATTCGATTATAACACAGTACGTTATGATATCCTAGAGAAAAAATAACTGTTTTTCTGGCGCCAAAACGGACGTTGCGGTAGGTTTTGTNATTTTGACTTTTTAGATTGCGAGACCGAGACTTCAAAGCGCTTTGAGTGCGAGCGCGAGACGTTCAGACTCTTAAAATTCAAGCCCCAGATAGATTTAGTTGAGAGCTAGAATGAGCTTGTACAGCCTTAAGCCAGCTTCTTGGAACTGACTGGAACTGGAAATTCGATTATAACACAGTACGTTATGATATCCTAGAGAAAAAATAACTGTTTTTCTGGCGCCAAAACGGACGTTGCGGTAGGTTTTGTACCGTTTTGTGGAAGTAAGACAATTTAGGAGAAGTTAGGATTAACTTTTTCTAGGAAAATTTGTAAGTTGCTTCATTGAAATTCAAGATCAAGTGAAGCCGGAAGACGTCATTTATAAAGACAGATAAAGGAACGAATTGGGACTTCTGAGACAGCTTTGTAGAAAAATCGAGACTGCGAGACGCACATAACCGCTGAAAAACGAGCCTGCGAGAACCGTGATATTCGACTAAAATTTTACGAGACCCAGAGTTTTTGAAGGACCATTCGCCACCCCTCGCAATAGAAGTCAATTGTAGTTCATGTATGACCATATATTTATATCACGCCGCGGCTTGTCTGCCCTACAAAAATACTATTTTATATAATAACTGAGCTACTACGCGCGCTCTCATTGGTCGATAGCTGTGTTTAGATGAGAGTATGTAAACACAAGTGTGACGCTTTAGCCGGATTCGCGCGTACTTTTGAGAAATATCTTATAAAAGCAATAGATGTCTTTCCCTCGTGTTTACATATCCCCATCTAAACACTCGGGAAATTCCACTCGGGAAATTCGAAATTCCATACATTTATGCAAACCCGAGACTGCGTCTGCATAACTACCTGAGCCGTATTTAAACACGGAAAAAAGTAGGCTATTGCTTAATGAAGTCGCCTTGTTATATCGATGCATCAGCATTGCTGTAAACCGTTTTATAGCACATTCAATGCTCTGAGATAACAAAGCAACTTTATAATAACATATGTAATAGCATTACAGTGTAATAACCTGTAATAACATTATAAATCGGTGCCAAGTCAAATCAATCAAATTAATGGACTAGAGGACATTGTATCAGTGATGTGCTACCAAATTTACGAAACTAGCATCACGATAATGACCTGGAACTTAGTAATAACTAAGGGGAAGAAGGAACTGAAAGGTGCAAGTGCCGGCTCGAACGTACCTTACCAGCTGTATCAAAGACGTGGAAGAGAATATCTTGTCCATCTATATCCACATGGTGCTTGTACCAACTCTCTGCCAAGTTATACAAATTGAGCATTTGTGTTATTTGCGTTTATACAGATCGATTCAGTTAAGCAATAGTGGACTTTTTTCCGTGTTTACACGTAGCCTCATATAACCAAGAAGGGGGTTGGGCGAATTCCATACATTTGTGCAAACATGCCGTCACAGGTTTGCTGATAACTTTTGAGAATTCTCCCAACCTTCCAAGTGTTAAGAAAAGGCTATGTAAACACGGAAGAAGTCCACTATTGCTTTTATAAAGAAATATTTCTCAAAAATACACGCAAATCTAACGAATATATAACGAATATTTTTAACAGGATGACGCATCAGTGTATTAAACACTGTTATCAGAGGGGTACTGTAAACCAAACTGTGGTGAAAATAAAGTAAAAAGGTAACAAAGGTACAAATAGGTAAAAGACGTGTAGAAAATTGGTAAAAATGTTCACTTAAGCATTTGCAATTGTTAAATAGAAATCTTGAAGTTATGGATATAAATTCGATTGGTAGTTCATTAAAAAGCTTGGCTCCGTGATAGTGAAAGCTCTTCTTCCCAAATTCAAGGCGAACTTTAGGTAGTTTCACTGATAACCCATTGTTCCTTGTGTTCTGAGAGTAAAGTGATCTTTCAAAGTAAGTCTTAAATGGGGGCAATTATTATTTTGAAGACGGTCGAAGACAAACGGACTGCTTTTGCGCTGATTAAGTTCCCTGCTGATGGTAGTTTTAGATTGCTGTTACCAATAATTTTCAAACTTCGTTGTTCAAAGTTCTTTATCAGACTTTTTCAGGTGTCTGACAAACCAAGAAGAAGTGATCCGCAGTATGTAAAAAGGACTAAAAATAGGCAAGATCATTGTTTTATAGGTTGTGTCAGCACAGTTTTGGTCGATCGAGGAACGGATTGACCTTAAGAGGCTAGCTCAGCCTGATGCTTCAACGTCACAGCCGTGTTTACATGCCCTCATCTAAACAGACCCATCGACCAATAAGACAGCACGTAGTAGCTTAGTTATTCTATAACACCCAATATGTGCATAATATCTAAAGATGATGCATCTCGAAGAATTCCCCTTTCCTGTTTTATTACTTTCACCATAACTATACTTTTTTTGCTGTTATTTCAACTATTTTGGTGTTACTTATTTTACTTTATATGCTGGCAGATGTATATTCTGGATGTTAAGAGAGCACAATAAGCTACTTTATGTAAGTCTTTATGTAGAGAGATCCAGTCAAATTAAATGTGGTCATCTTTAACTTTGCTCCAGAGTGTTTAACGTGCTTGTAACGGCGCGATATCGACCTTAGCTATCCGATGTACTAACAATCGAATGAAGTCGGCTAGTACTTTTATGTGGTCCTATTTACTATGATGTACAGATGGGTTTAGCCGTAAAGTCTGTGGACGAAACCCTAGTGTGTTACCATACCCGGTAAACTGCCGCTTAAAGCCCCCTCCCCCGGCTATACAAGCCCATCTACTTTTTATTCCGCTAATAAGCGGATGTAACACACTACGTTTATGAGCATCCAAAACCGCTTAATAACGAAGTTGCTTAAGTATTCAAATAANGGTGCAAACATTATTTTGAAGAGGGTCGAAGACAAACCGACTGCTTTTGTGCTTAATTAAGTTCTCTGCTGATGGTAGTTTTAGATTGCTGTTACCAATAATTTTCAATCGTCGCTGTTCAATGTTCTTTATCAGACTTTTGCGGGTGTCTGACCAACCAAGACCAAGTGATCCGCAGTATGTAAATATAGGCAAGATCATTGTTTTATAGATTGTTTCAGCACATTTTTGGTCGATCGACGAACGGATGGACCTTAAGAGGTTAGCTCTGCCTGATGCTTCAACGTCACAGCCGTGTTTACATGCTCTCATCTAAACACACCCATCGACCAATAAGACAGCACGTAGTAGCTCAGTTATTCTATAACACCCAATATGTGCATAATATCTATAGATGATGCTTCTCGAAGAATTCCCGTTTCTTGTTTTATTACTTTCACCATAACTATACTTTTTTTCGCTGTTATTTCAACTATTTTGGTATTATTTATTTTACTTTATAAGCTGGCAGATGTATATTCTGGATGTTAAGAGAGCATCATTAACTACTCTATGAAAGTCTTTATGTAGAGAGAACCAGTCAAATTAAATGTGGTCTTCTTTTACTTTGCTAGGGAGTGTTAAACGTGCTTGTAACGGCGCGATATCGCCATTAGCTATCCGATGTAGTAACAATCGAATGAAGTCGGCTAGTGCTTTTATGTGGTCCTATTTACTATGATGTACAGTTGGGTTTAGCCTTAAAGTCTGTGGACGAAACCCTAGTGTGTTACCATAACCGGTAAACTGCCACTTAAAGTCCCCTCCCCGTTTACACAAGCCCATCTACTTTTTATTCCGCTAATAAGCCCCACCTGGATGTAACACACTACGTTTATGAGCATCCAAAACCGCTTAATAACGAAGTTGCTTAAGTATTCAAATAA